CAACCGAAGAATATTAACCAAGCAATATGCATATTATGAATCCGAACTGTTATTTTATGGTTTCAAAGCTTTACGCATTTAACAACATAAGTTGAGAGCTTTAGGGCATACTCGAAGTTCGTGGTGTTATTTCTAGAACGTGTATGGTATGGTGAATGTTTAAATATTTCGTTTCTAAAAAGCTTATAGAGACCTAGAATTTTGAAGTCATCTCTTCACTTATGCAACCTATAGTTAACTATCGAGTAGAATTTCTGCTGCAAGAACTGGCTAATGTATGAAGGCTATACGTATATCTTGATAAACATGGAGTGAATCTGACAATGACTAAGGAGATAGAAATGACCATTTCCACCGTCATCAGTAAATCCTGCTTAATCCGGACTAAACTAGCCAAAACTGTCAACAATCGATTGCCGAAAGACCTTCTTCCTTTTCATTGTGTCATCTCGGAATGCAAAATACTTTACCTATCCAATGTATGTACCCCTGTAATGATGCAATTGAGTTTAGCATATATATATGTATATATGCATATCTAAATATGACTAGCCGACGACGGCAAATAATCCGGAAATAGCCATTTCAATTCCCCAAACGGCGTATTCGAAATATATATATCCCGTTTCCCATCCCCCTAAGAAGATGAAGAAGAAAACAAGGCGTCTTCATGAACCATCGTGAATATTTTGAAGAGAGCTCACCTAAGTATCACCTTATTGTCTCAGTTCTTCTTTGTGCATATATATCTGCCAATGGCAAATGTGACTAACATTCACTCAACAAAAGTATATATAGATAAACTACTACTATATATAAAACATCCTTGGCGCAATCGATACTCGACCTGATTGAGTTTGTTTTCTCCAGTCAGTTTACATCCAACGTAATATGAGACTATAACCATGAGCAGTCAAGGACTGTGTCCGAAGCTATTTTTGACCGGGTAAATATATATCCATACATCTGATAAAAACTGAGTAGCTAACAAGCCTATGGTCAACTAGGTAGAGCATCAGGCTTATTGACACTGAGTAAATAAAAGAAGACAGTCTCATTTGCCAGCATT